GTAATATAATGAAGTAAAATTAAGTATTCCTGTGCATACAACAATCATTGCACATTATTATGCTCCAAGTACTGAAAGAGGAAAAGCTCTCTCTGAGCAAATACAACATAATATAACAGTAAAGGAAAGAGGTTTGCACTAGCTCTCAAAATCCTCACAACTGAAGAGTAAGAAGAGCAGTCACGGGTTGGGGATTTAGCTCAGTGGTAGAGCACTTGCCTAGCAAGCACAAGGCCCTGGGTTCGGTCCTCAGCTCTGGGAAAAAAAAAAAAAAAGAAGAAGAAGAAGAGCAGTCACACTGAGTCAGGGCACCCAGCTGCTAGCAGACTGGCGATCCTGCTCAGTGTGCCTACTACTGCCTCCAGGGGATGAGGGTGGATTACTTCTGAGAAAATTGTATCAGAGTAAGTACAAAATACAGATACATTCCACTAGCAATATAATACAGATCCATATAGGTCTTTTGAATATCTACTAGGCTTTTCCTAAAAAAAAATCCTCATGTGTGCACATGCACAGAGGTCAGAGGAAAACTCTGGATCTCAATCTTCGGGTGCCATCACCTCTTTTTGGGAGATACAGGATGGCTGGCACAGCACTAGCCTGGACTCACCTCGCAGGCTAAACTGGCTGGCCAATAACTCCCATCACTGGGATTTCAGGCATGCAGCAGCACACCTGGGCTCTTTTCTTACATGGGTTTTAGGGATTGAACCATTTTACTAACGGAGTCATCATCCTAACTTCTAAAAAGATTTATTTTTATATTCATGTTGGGGGAAAGCAAAGAGAGAGTATCAGATCTCCCTGGAGCTGGAGTTACAGGTGGTTGTAAGCTGCTTACCCTGAGAGCTGGGAACCCAAACTCAGCTCCTCTGCAAGTGCTATTAACCACAAAACCATCTCTCCAGCCCCTCAAAATACTCTTTTTAAAAAGCATTATTTCTATTTGAATAATCAAAACCTAAGTAAAAAAATAAAAACTATAAAAAGCAGCTGCTTGTACAATTAAGAATATCAGGGCCTATATAGCATCCTATGTTGTTTTTTTTCTGCGTAAGTCTGTGCATTTTTTTTAAGATTTATTTATTATGTATACAATGTTCTACCTGCATATGTCCCTGCAGGCCAGAAGAGGGCACCAGATCTCATTACAGGTGGTTGTGAGCCACCATGTATTTGCTGGGAATTGAACTCAGGATCTCTGGAAGAGCAGTCAGTGCTCTTAACTGCTGAACCATCTCTCCAGCCCAAGTCTGTGCAGTTTTTTGTTTTTGTTTTTTCCTGCATGCAGTATCCTATAGTTTCAAAGCACTTAGACAAGGTCAAATGATTTTTTTGTTTGGTTTGGTTTTGGTTTTTGGTTTTTTGAGGCAGAGTTTTGCTGGGTAGCCTTGGATGTCCTGGAACTTGCTCTGTAGACCAGGCTGGCCTTGAACTCACAGAGATCCGCCTGCCTCTGCCTCCCAAGTGCTGGGATTAAAGGCATGCACCACCACTGCCTGGCCCTCAAATGATTAATCTTAAAAACATTCTTCAGAAAAAAGTAAATACCACTGGTGAGTGGAGTTAGTGATTCCAGAACTAGTCAGTAACTAATCAGTAAAGTAACTCCAGAGAATGATTTAATGTAAAATGTAAAGCACTGATGCATTAATTCATCTCTTTGACCTATCCCTAGAAACACTAATATTCTCTCAGGCGTGGCTCCATTACATAGAACAGACTCCTCTGTCATAGGACCTCACACATTCACATTAGAGTTATTGCTCTGTCAATCTCCCTGACTAAACTCTGCTCCTCCACAGGACGCTGGGAAACATGGGAGCACTCAGCAAGACACAGCAAAGAATCATTCAGTTATCTGTTCAATACACTAGTAAGATCTAGTACATGTCATTCACTGTTGCAGACACAGGGATGCAATGTAAGAAATGAAAAACAAGCCGGGCAGTGGTGGCGCACGCCTTTAATCCCAGCACTCGGGAGGCAGAGCCAGGCGGATCTCTGTGAGTTCGAGGCCAGCCTGGACTACCAAGTGAGTTCCAGGACAGGCGCAAAGCTACACAGAGAAACCCTGTCTCGAAAAACCAAAAAAAAAAAAAAAAAAAAAAAAAAAAAAAAAAGAAATGAAAAACAGAGAGAAACAAGTTTCCCACTCCTGTGGAACATATATCCTAAGTAGCAAAGAAACCAAGAAACAAAATAGGATAGTAAAAAGAGCCATAGAGGGATGGAGAAAAAACTCAGTGGTTAAGAGCACCTGATGCTCTCCCAGAGGACCCAAATTCAGCTTTTAGTGCCTACATCTGGAATCTCACAGCTGCCTGTAACTCCAGCTCCAAGGAATCTGAGTGCCCTCTTATGGCCTCTTCAGGTGTGTGTGCGTGCATGCACATGCACGCACACACACACACACACACACACACACACACACACACATACACACACACAAATCTTTTTTTTTTTTTTTTAAGAAAAGAGCTGTAGAGAAAATCCATTTAAACAACAACAACATGACTAAACGTGGCTAAATAGTTACATTGGATCAGGCAGGGACATTCAAGCTTATTTCTAAATATAAAGAAGCTGCTGCAACCATATGAGGGAAAGACAACTACAGGGAGCAAGATCAATAGGATTAAAGTGACAAAGAAATTAAAATATTCATGGCCCAGGAAAATAGAGGGGGGGGGCAGGGGAGAAGATTGTGATTGGAGTATGGTACACAAACATGACCAATAAGAGACAAAATCAGACACCAAATCAGGGTTTTCTTGAGTCATGATAAGAATTTTATTCTAAGTGAGAAGAAACATTATTTACAGTTCTACAATGCACAGCGTAGAGACCCTGAGATAGAGGTATAGCGCAAATCCTAACTGGTCTTATTAATAAAAACCTGGAATCAGATATCAGGGTGAAAGCTGAAAATCAGAGCCAGCCACTAGTTAGCCATAGAGGCCAGGCAGTGGAGCACACACCTTTAATCCCAGCACCAGGGAGGTGGAGACAGGAAGTGATATGGCTGGGCAGAGAGAGGAATATAAGACAGGAGCCACTGCTAAGTTACTTCACTCACACTCTAGCAGGTAACCCTAATTTAATTCATTGGTTCACACACAATGGCATGAAAGTAAATGGGAACTAATTGGGAAGTGGAAAGGATTGGTGGGAGGGGAAAGGATCCAAGAAAGGGTAATGGGGGTGACTAATCAAACTACATCATATATATGAATAGAAATGTCATAAGGACATTTATTATTGTTTATAATTAATATATACTAATAAAAACTCTAAAAAATTAAGTATATAGTACACTTCTGATTTAAATTGCTTTGAATGCCTAATATGTAGCACTAAAAGCAAAATTAATACTTAGAAAATTACTAGGCTATTAGCTGGGGAGCTTTTCCTTTTTTTTTTTTTTGGTTTTTCGAGACAGGGTTTCTCTGTGTAGCTTTGCGCCTTTCCTGGATCTCGCGCTGTAGACAGGCTGGCCTCGAACTCACAGAGATCCGCCTGGCTCTGCCTCCCGAGTGCTGGGATTAAAGGCGTGCGCCACCACCACCCGGCTGAGCTTTTCCTTTTTAATAAATTACTTTACAGTGAAAAGTTACTTTTAGTTCTATTCTCAGACTAAACGATAAAGCAACAGCATCCACTGACATCTTAATGGCAGGGGAAGAGAGGGGAGCACTCCTGCATGATACCTGGAAGTTACAGGTGACTACACAGATTTTAGGCTCATCACTTAGTCATGTATTAACTCTGCAGAGGCTGAGATATCGATAAGTAGCTTACAATGAGTGCCAGGCAGACGTCTGGAAGGGAAGCTCCTGGGTAAAAACATGGGAGAACCATTAAACATAATAAATCTTTTCCTCTTACTACGGAAACCAGAATGAAAAAGCATTGTATAAGAATACTGCTCACCATATTAACTGAACAAAATAGAACACTAATGCAAAAATTAATGTCAGGGTCATATTTCACCTAACAGGATTATCTGTGCTCCAGAACCTTCCAGGCTTTTGCATCAAGAATAATGCTAAAATGCAGTTACACTTAATTTCACAAATAATCACTGCAAAGGAAACATTACCATTTCTCATTCTAGGTAGCAGGTTCTGAACACTTGTTAAACTGCATGTATTTTATACCTTTTGAGGTTGGTTTGTCATCATGGTAAGACAAGACTCGTCACCTTTGCCGGTTCCAAGTATTGGGTTCTGTAGTCTTATTTTCATGTTGTTGTACAAGCCCAGAACTTTTCGTCTTATGAAATGAAACCTGTACCTATTAAACCACATGTTATTTCTCCTCATTCTTGCACACCCTGGTAACCATCATTCTTTCTATGACATTCCCTGATTATTTAGCTTATACCATTTTGTTATAAAAATACCTAAATCTCTACAAAAGAAACTATACACACAAAAATTTGAGTTTGTATTTTAGTTTGATGTCTAAATACAATTTCATTACTGTTTCCTAAACTAAGAGGTGATGAGTGGAAAGAGCTAAGACTTATCTTCAGTATTGAGGCAGAAACATAGACCTGACCAAAAATTATCCTGTAAAACACAATGCACTATTCACGATTGCAGTGAATACCAACAAAATTACTGTTTGTACTAACAACATGGCAACTAATATGATCTACTTATATGGAAAAATATATAACACAGGGACCAAGAATACTAGACTCAAAATAAGACTAAGTTTAACAATAGCCTAATGTACAGAAATACAATATTCATGTTTTAGTCTTTTATATTTTACAAAGAACTTCCACATATAACAATTCATTTTGTTAAACCACAGTCCCTCCTGAACTCAGTTTTCCTTATCTGTGCAACATGGAAAAAAAATCCACTATGTTGGTCTCATACGGTTGAACCAAGGAGAAAATCTGAGATAATGAAAACAGAATCTAGACATTATATACAGTACTACAGAAACACTGTCTAAAGAGAAATTTCAAATGTACTACATTTTTGGTTCTGTTGTATTTTTTTTAATACAGGTTCTTACTATGTAACCTGGGCTGACTTCATACTTATTCTCCTGTCTCAGCTCTCTAAGTGCTAAAAGTCATAGGCTTGTGCTACCATACCCAGATAACAATGTATAAATTGCTTATAATCAAGGAATAGCTGATACAGTGCTACATATGCAAATATTTATTAAATACTATCATAAAAATTTATAGAGCATATGAAACATGGAGACATGGCAGAAGTTCCTCTATCCACTTGGACATAAAAGGGCAACTTTGGATTGTAGATGTAGCTGAGCAGTAGAGTGTTTGCTTACCATGTGTGCAGCATTAGGTTCAATCTCAAGTACCACAAACAATAACAAACAACAGAATCACTGCTTAACCTGTTAATACAAAGAGCTTATTCAGTGAAAACTGCAATTACAAGCACATGTGAGATTCTTACAAGTTAATAATAACAGAGCAAAACTATATGTCTATGATACTATAAAGCTACAAAGTAACACAGGAGGAAGGCACTATGACACATGCCTGTATTTCCAGTGCTTTCAGAGGCTAAGGCAAGAGGACTGCTTAAACCCATTGGTTCAAAACCAGCAATATACTTAGAGTCTGTCTCAAAAACACAAAACAAAACAACAAAAAGTAAATAAATAAATAAAACCACATATGATTTACATGAAAGACTCCATATCTTACTCCTTTAAAGAGTAAATTGTATTAAACTTGAGCACAGCACAAAAAAGTCATATAAAATTCTATTTTTTTTAAAGAAAAAACAAACCTTTTATCTCCATCTAATTGAAGGAGTTAGCCTACATTTTCAAGCCTACATAAGCAAAGGGTTTTGTTATTATCTAGTAGGTAGGAAGGACATTCTCAAATGCTGACCCTTTGGTAACCAATCCTTTGAGTCACTTTTTTATTCCTTCTCTATTTGAAAAGAATGCTGTACTTATGATCCCACTTGTACAATCTTTAAAATCAATTTGACACAATGTTTCATAAACCTGCACCAAGTCTAATTCTGACTGATCAAAGTAACTCAATCCATGGGGGGATCTGAAAACCAAGAGTACCCAGTGATTTGCATCAAACAGAAAACACTGGATTTTGAGACCTTTAGTTGGCTATAAGACTGCTTTTCTGTTGCTGTGATAAACAGCATGACCAAGGATGGGTCCATCATGGCAGCAAGCAGCCAGCAGGAACAGAAGCTGAGAGCTCTTGAACCTCAAGCACAAAACAAAGAGAAAAAACTGGAAAAAAAAACAAAGCCCACTTCTGGTGGTCTGCTTCCTCTGGCAAGACTACACCTGCTAAACCTCTTCAAACAGCACCATCAACTAGGGACCAAGTGTTCAAATACATGAGCCTATGAGGGTCACTTTTGTTTTGTGTTGTTGACTTGACACAAGCTAGAGTTATCAGGGAAGAGGACTCTCAACTGAGAAAATGCCTCCATCAGACAGTCTGGAGGCAAGTCAGTAGGTCATTTCTGGATACATGATTGATATGATATGGGAGGGCCAAGTTCACTGGGGGGCAGTGCTACCCATGGACAGAGGGATGCTTGGAGATAGAAGGCACTGTGACAGGAATAGAACATAATATTTAGACAACTTCATGTAACATACTTGTTCCCTCAGGACCTGTTCCAACCAGATCACATCTATACCACTTCGATTTGTTGGACGGTTGCTGTGATGTGTGACTTTATGGTTTGGTGGGTGCAATAACACCCTGTTCATAAAGGGAAGCTCAGGCTGCAGGGTGACCTGGTGGCCAATAGTCAAATGTTCAGTTTTCAGATCTTCCTAAAGCAATGGCGGCAGGCGGCAGCGATCCACGGGCTGGCGACGTAGAAGACGCCTCTCAGCTCATCTTTCCCAAAGAGTTTGAAACAGCTGAGACACTCCTAAACTCTGAAGTTCACATGCTTCTGGAGCATCAAAAGCAGCAGAATGAGAGTGCAGAAGATGAGCAGGAGCTTTCAGAGGTTTTCATGAAAACCCTAAACTATACAGCCCGTTTCAGTCATTTCAAAAACAGAGAGACCATTGCCAGTGTTCGTAGCTCGCTTGTCCAGAAAAAGTTACATAAGTTTGAGTTGGCTTGTTTAGCCAATCTTTGTCCAGAGACTGCTAAGTCCAAAGCTCTGATTCCAAGCCTGGAAGGGCGTTTTGAAGATGAGGAACTGCAGCAGATTCTCGATGATATCCAGACCAAGCGCAGCTTCCAGTACTGATGTCCAGACACCTGGTCCTGAGACAGCTCCAGAACAGCACCACATCTTCGTCAGCATCACACAGGAGTGATGTTGCAGAGGACATTTGGACTGCTTTTTTACTGTTTGCTTTATTGAGATACAGTGTCACTCTGTAGTCTTCAAACTCATGATGGACCTCTGACCTCAGCCTCCCAAGTGCTGGGATTACAAGTGTGAGCCAATGCTCAAGGAAGGCTTTTGGAGGGGAAAGGCTGGCTTGGAGATGGTCTAGGTTGCTGTCTCCACAGTGACTATTAGACCATAATTATTGTGTCTTCCTGTTACAGCCTTATAAGGACTGTTATGGTCAAGTGTGCTACAATCTGGACTGGTGAGGTAGAGTGATATGTTCACTACCTCTTATCTTGGTTTTTTGGACCCTGTGTTATTTGTTCTTGACATTTCAATTTTTAATATAAATATAGTTTGTAGTTTTTAAAACTAAAAAAAAAATGTTCAGTTTTCACTAAGGTCCCACTAACAGGCCAAGAGCTGTCTCTCAAAAGAAGTTATCTATAGATGGTCTTACTCCAAAATCCTATGGGCTTCTACTGGGATTGACCTATGGGACTACCAAAGGCTCCAAACAGCATTCACCTACTGGTTTGTGGGGTGTGCCCTATAGCTTAGATGACTGAGGAAGAGAGACTGGGGCACAGTTAACTGGTGGTTCTTCACACTGTGCAGCACCAGAAGTGGATAGCCACAGCATTATAGCTCTTTTCTGGAAAAATCCTGAAAGACTTCAGAGGGAAATGTTCACATTAGGTAAAACTTCAGGCAGTGCACACAGTTGCAGATTTGTTAGGGAGGATAAATGGCAAGATGTGTGATTGTTCACTAATTCATGGGCTGTGGCCAGATGTGTGATTGTTCACTAATTCATGGGCTGTGGCCAGATGTGTGACTGTTCACTAATTCATGGGCTGTGGCCAATGGTTTGGTGTGACTTAGCTGTTGCTACTATTTTAAAGATGACTTAGCCGTGCGGTGGTGGCGCACGCCTTTAATCCCAGCACTCAGGAGGCAGAGGCCAGCGGATCTCTGTGAGTTCGAGGCCAGCCTGGGCTACTAAGTGAGTTCCAGGAAAGGCGCAAAGCTACACAGAGAAACCCTGTCTCGAAAAAAAAAAAAAAAAAAAAAAAAAAAAAAAAAAAAGATGGCTTAATTTTTTCAACCCCTTGATTCTGTTCCTCCAGAAAACTGAGTAAAATCAATTGTGGTACCAGGTCCATGGGATGTAACTGTGACAGACCTAATCATGTTTTGGGGAGGATTTCAGAAGGACATTGGAATTTTGCGTTAGAAAAAGTCATCTGGTGTTCAGAGCTTAAAAAGCTATTTTGAGGCCAGGCGATGGTGGCACACACCTTTAATCCCAGCACTTGGGAGGCAGAGCCAGGTGGATTTCTGTGAGTTGGAGGCCAGCCTGGTCTACAAAGTGAGTTCCAGGAAAGGCCCAAAACTACATAGAAAAACCCTGTCTCAAAAAACCAAAAAAAAAAAAAAAAGCTATTGTGAGAACAGTGTAGACGTGGAGCCTGGTTTATGAAGTTTCAAAGGTAAATTTGAGAGTCCCTTAAACAGGGGCTAAGAGTCATCTGTGATTAACAGGAGACAAGGACCACTAAGTGAAACCTTTACTGGAATAGACTGGTCAGCTGGAGCTGAAGCATCAGCTGTGAATAAGAAGAGATCAGCATCATGGAGGCATAAGCTTGGGAAGTACTTCCTCAAGGCAGCACACAAAAGCCGCAGTCCAGAGAGGGCAAGGCTGTACTCTGCACTGAACTTGATAATGTGTAAGAGTCTCTCAGGTGATTCAGGGTTTTGAAGTCATGAGGAGTGTGAGAGAGCAGTTGAGGCTTGGAACCCAGAGAGGACTTGGTGACGGTGCATGGAGAAAAACCAAGGCTTGGCACCATGTGGCAGGATCAGAGTCCCTGAAGAGAGTCAGCAGAAGCTACTGGTGAAGGTGCAGCCGAGTTGCAGTAGAGACTGTAGCATTTTGGAGATGCCAGTGCCATGCGATGACCACCAAAGACGGCAGCAGCTGCAAGTGCAGTCTGAGCCTGTGAGAGGAGCTCAGCGCGCTGTGAATGGCAGAGTTCTGGAGGCGGAGCTCCCCAAGCCCTGTAAGATCACAAATGAATCCCAAGTGTCTGACGCTGAGCTTCTTACGAGGCTACACTTTGGTTTTCCTGTGACTGTGACTTATGTCCTGCTTCTTGGCTCTTGGAGTAAGAAATATGTAACTTATTTTTTATTTTGCACAACCTCAGTCAAGACTCTGGCTGTTCTAGAAAGATGAGTGTAAACATACACGCGGCTGTCATCAGAGTTTACATTGCCTTTTAGTCTAACTCTTAGACCTGTTTAGAAACTGTGCTGGTTTGATTGATGATGGACCCCCAAAGGCTCATACATTTGAATGCTTAGTTCTAGTTGTTAGAACTATTTTAAAAAGGATTAAGAGGTGTGACCTTGTTAAAAGATGATGTGTCACTGGGGATGGGCTTTGAAGTTTCAGAATCAAGATTGGTTGCCCCAACTGTACAGGATGTACACATCATGATGTATGCTTTCTCCTAATTGGAAAAAGGTGGGACCTACATAGCCTTGTAGGTTTTGCTTAACATAATTCATAGCCATTCCCTGGGAATCCCAGGTATGGACATGGCCAGTGTCCATCTTCTTGGCCAGTATTTAATAAAGCTCACTTCAAATTTGGCCCCAAAATTGTGGCAGTAGTTTTATTCTCGAACAGTGGGATTAAAAGATGGTCATACCTTCTAAAACTGTAAACAAGCCCCAATTCCAATTAAATGCCTTGGTCAGGATGTCTCATCACAGCAATAGAAAAGTAACTAAGAAACCAACCAAATCTTAACCTGTTTACTTCTAGGTATCAATAATCAGAATCATAATGAACTCTGCTCCTCAGAGTTGCCAGCTGGTCCCAAATGTTGGCCATGCTTTTTCTTAACTTATTCATTTGTAAAATAACGAACAGCTACCTAATGAGACTTTATACTAGGATTACAAAGACTGTAAGCATAAGCATAATCCAAAATAACTCAGAGTGCATTCACCTAAGACTCAGAATGGAGCACAGTGTGTCACTCTCTCCAGTGTGTCTCTTACAGCCCTGATGCTGGCTGACATATAAAATTACTCTAAAAGACAATTCCTACTCTGACACACTGTGGCTGACTCCTGTAGAGAAGAGGCACCTGGTATGACCTGGAAGCAAGCACAGACATATAAAAAAAAAATGTTTCTAATTCCTTTATTTTCAAGCTAAGCAACAAAGATATGAGTTGGCTCACAGAATCAAGAGATTTCCAAGCTTTCCAAACACCAGCACCAATGCATTACATGTAGTATGGGCAAAAGCAGAGTCAAAACAAAGAGCAAGGAATACATGTTTCTGGTTTTTTACTACAGTGGTCAAAGGTTAAGGCACCAACCAAGGAAATTTACAATTAAGAGCCAAAAAATGATGAAATCTAGTACATCAAGTAAGTTACCTAAAATGTGGATAGGTGATATAGGTTTGAAATTTTAGTCTGACTATATAGTCTGATACATTTCTTTCCAAATAGTAGATCTAGGGCCAGAAAATAAATTATGTTCATAAAGGACATTCCTTGAGCAATTCACTGAAATGTGAATGGGTCTATGGATTGGACAGCATTATTATATTAATGTTAATGTTCTGGTTTTAAGGTTTGCACTGTTGTTATATGGCAGAATGTTCTCAATATATACTGAAGGATTTAGAAGTGGCAAGACAATTTGTCTTCAATTTGGTCTCAAACGGTTCCAAAAATAACAGTAAAAATGATATAGTCAGAAAGAGAACTATCAACCAAATATGGTAAAATGTTAAAAGTAGGGGATCCAGCTGGGCGGTGGTGGTGTACACCTTTAATCCCAGCACTCGGGAGGCAGAGCCAGGCAGGTCTCTGCGAGTTTGAGGCCAGCCTGGTCTACAGATCGAGATCCAGGACAGGCACCAAAACTACACAAAGAAACCCTGTCTCGGAAAAAAAAAAAAAAAAGTGGAGGATCCAGATGAAAAGCATACAGCAATCACTTGTACTATCTGTTAGTTCCTGCAAAGGCGGCGGCAGCAGCGGCAGCAGCGGTAGCCTGCCTCAGCCACCGAGGCAGTTACGAGATGCCAGGTGCCTTTCCACTTCAGCTATGTGATGCACGCACCCCTTAAAAGTACCCGATTGTCAGCCCCTCCCTTGCTCTTGCTCCTCTTGTTTTCTGTCTGTCTATCTGTCTGCCTCTCATGTCCCCACTCCAAGACGGCCTTTCACTCTTCCACTCTGCCCTTGCCCCAATAAACTTTTATCTTTTCACTATCTGCTACTCTGTGTGTGTGTGTGTGTGTGACTAGAACCAGGCACTATCTATCCAGCTACAGAGAAGCCCTCATCCCTGCTGGGTAAGGCTGTAATCCCAACAATCCTACAGCACACTGGGAGGCAGGAGAATCACCAGAAGCTCATGCGCCAGCCAGCCTAGAGTACCCAACACCAACACCATGGAACCAGTGAGACCTGCCTCAACCAGGTGGAAGAGAGAGTCATGTGTCTCCATACATACTGTATAAAGTGAGGACATGACCACTCCAAAGTATGGTTGAGGGGAAGGTTTTACTGTAGATGTGAGGGGAAGGACAGTCAGAAGCATCTGGAAGCATCCAGAGTAGGAGAGGACCGGGGGGCGTGGCAAGGGGCTGCATGGCAAGAATGGCAAAGTTATATAGGAATGAGAAGCTGCAGGAAGACAACTCTTACACTGGAGTTTAGGGTAGGGGTGGGGTAAGAAGAGCTGAGAGGAGCCATGGCTACTGAATGAGCCTGGAGGTCAGTAGGGGCTTTGGTACTATAGTAGGCCCCAGTTAGCCGTTTGTCCTGAGTTTCTTTTGGACCTGACATAGGCCTCTGATTCAGCTGCTGTTAATATCTTCTACCACATAACTTCATGAAAATTTATCTTACTAAAGCACAAACCTGAAGAACTGAATTCACTCCCAGGAGCCCACATAAAGGAGAGAACTACAAAGACAAGTTCCCAGAAAGGATTCTCTTCAAGCTCAAACCTACCAGCTAATTAAAACTTTAGTGACTATGTAGAGTTTGGAACGTGGCAGCTCCACAGCCTGCTTACAATTTATCTTTAATAAATATCTTTTACAATTGCTATTTTTAGACAACTAAATAGCCATTCCTTGCTCACTTCTGTGTCAGACCTAACATCACAGATAAAACCTCTTGGGATAGTTTAGCTTAACAAAACCCTAGTTTCCTCCACTAAGAGTGGGGAGTAGGAGTCAGACAGACTCCCTGGTAGACAGAGGGACAGTGAGGGGAGCTGTGGGCAGTTGACAAAGTGGGGACTTCAAAGATGACTTCCTCTCCCTCTTCACCTCAAACAAAAGGCTGCCAGCTTAAAACAAAAGCCTTGTGGGCATTTTCCCCTGCCAGTGGGGCCCCCTGCTGATGGACTGGCCCAATGAGCTCAAGGCCAGACCAGGACACATATGTACAACAGTTGTGAACCAAGATCAGGACACATATGCACAACAGTTGTGAACCAAGACCAGGACACATATGCACAACAGTTGTGAACCAAGACCAGGACATATACACACAGCAGTTGTGAACCAATCCGCTGCCCCGTCTCTCTTCAAACTGACCAACCCTATACTAGGAGAGGAAGACCTCCAGAGACTTTAAAAACCCCAGCCCTAGAGAGGAGGCTGGACTTTCAGCTTCAAGACTCCTCTGCTGATTCTGTCTGCTTCTGTTTGTGGTTTTGAGATTTCTCCACTGCTAGCTGTTGCTCTTGATACTTTTCCTGCCTTTTAACTTTTTAACTGGCAGAGAAACATGACCAAGACCCCTAGA